ACGCATAATATAAAACTTCATTAAAATAAAACATAAAATACAAACTAAACATAGAACATTTCCTGAGATGGATAAGCAACTCTCAATAATCTGGTAGATCGGGGCCAGAGTGTCTAATATCATTGAAATAATTGCCAAAATTAGAAGCAGACCCTTGTTCTTATTGATTTCTTTTTTGTATTATTTTAATCTGTTGAGCTCGAACGTACTCACGCACGTTTGGATCAGCAATGGAATTCAAATCTTTCATTATAATTTTCCATTCATCTCTATCTTTTTTCATGGCTATCTTTTCTCGTTCGATATCAAACGCTACTTGCCTGTCCAAGCTCGCCTTGTCTAACCTGTCTATAAGTCGATTGTTGGAGGTCTCGATGGAGTCCACTACACTTGACTCATGATCATCATTTTTCCTTTTCAATTTAGCTTTTTTTACCCCAATAGGTCGTTCAGATGGAGTAAATGATGACAGTCCAGGAGATGTTGATATAGGAGATTCCGGAGTGGGATTATCTGATTGTGACGAGTCGAAGTTCACACTTTGGGATTGTCTTCGACCAACTTGTCTTGCTGTGGGGACATCATCTTTAAATTTTTCGAAATTTTTAACCATATTCCAGACATGATCAAATTTGAAACCTTTTTTGTACTTTGGTTCTTGCATAAATAACATCTTTGCTCGAACTAACTGCAAATTATAGTGAACATCAAGTTATGTATTTCAACAATAATAATAAAATTCAAACGATAATTAATAGAATACTTACAATATCTTCATCTGAAGCACCACTTGGATTCAGATTCTCTACTTGTCTCAAGCACGCATTCAATTTCCTTACTTCATTACTTATGATTTCCATTCGAGAACGAATTGATCGGCTCGTACGCATCTCAAAATGCTGATCTCGAAGTTCATTGTATTTGTCCTCCACACGAGACCAAAATGCATCTCGAGACTGGTTTCTACCGATAATAGGGTCTTGAGAAATATCCAAGAATACTTGACAAAGGAGCACATCTTCAGTAACCGTGTATCCAGTTAATCGAACAGACATTTTTTTGTAAAAAGCGGTTGGTTTGGAGATCAGAAATACTTTGAAGAAATACTTCGAATTGGGTGGCTTGAAGTAGAAACCGTGAATGTTATTTATAGCCAATCCAAATTTGTTTTTTTTGTTTGAATTTGAATTTGAATTTGAATTTGAATTATAGTAGATTTTCATGAGTTACATCCTGAATATCACTTTCCGATACTATGTGTTAAAGTTTGATCCGTCAAAGTTCTCTAACTTAAGACAATCCATTCCAAGAGTCCTCGTAGAGATCAAAAATATTACTTTAAGGTTGTTAGTGCCTGTGGCTAAATCAGTGAGAAATGAAAGCAACTAAAGTGCTGTATTTTAAAACTTTTTCAAGTTAGCTGTTGTGCATTTGTGAAATGTTGTACTTAAAGTAACTTTTGGCCTACTATGGTGTAAGGATCCCAAGGCCAAACTGCTTCCAGGAATAGAGGTACAGTATAATGGTGTCCACCAACCAAGTACTGTCAATATCTCTTTGATCTATAAGACCTTTCGGTCAAGGCAACGATCACCTTGATCTGTTAAAATCTTTCGGTTCAAAATCTTTCGGTTCAGGCAAATATCTATCGATCTGTAAAAACCTTTCGGTTCAGGCAAAGATCTTTCAATCTGTAAAATCCTTTCGGTTCAGGGCTATGTTCCTTCGGACATAGACTAAAGCTTGCACACTTTCAAACTCTGCAGCAACAGCACAACAGCTCGAACACTTCAGTGTTTTTTTTCGTATGTCCCAAGAGCTACCCCGATGGGCACTATTTATAGGCCTCTAAGACCATCTCCAACCCCGCGTTATTTTGAGGCAAAACGTCATTTTGCCGCTCCGATTCCTCTCCAACCCAGCGGCATTTGTCGCGCTATTTTAGCGGGGCGTCGCGCTGTTCATCACCGCATTACTGTTCATTTATTATTATTATTATTATTTTGTTTAACCTCATACTTTTATGTATTTACAATTTGACCCTAATTGTTTTATTAAATGTATAAAACAATCCCAATAATATTTAAATTTTATAATTTTACCCCAATTGTATAATTTGGACAAAATAAATTATTTTTTAAAATTAAAAATAATGCTAAAATTTAAAAGACATTATTATTAATTATAATATTAAAATCTAGATATTAAGTAAAGTCCCATGAAATATAAAGAGCAATACCAATACATAATTCAAATATAATTTGCATATCTGAAATACATAACATATAAAAACTGACACGTATAATATAAAACTTCATTAAAATAAAACATAAAATACAAACTAAACATAGAACATTTCCTGAGATGGATAAGCAACTCTCAATAATCTGGTAGATCGGGGCCAGAGTGTCTAATATCATTGAAATAATTGCCAAAATTAGAAGCAAACCCTTGTTCTTGTTGATTTCTTTTTTGTATTATTTTAATCTGTTGAGCTCGAACGTACTCACGCACGTTTGGATCAGCAATGGAATTCAAATCTTTTATTATAATTTTCCATTCATCTCTATCTTTTTTCATGGCTATCTTTTCTCGTTCGATATCAAACGCTACTTGCTTGTCCAAGCTCGCATTGTCTAACCTGTCTATAAGTCGGTTGCTGGAGGTCTCGATGGAGTCCACTACACTTGACTCATGATCATCATTTTTCCTTTTCAATTTAGCTTTTTTTACCCCAATAGGTCGTTCAGATGGAGTAAATGATGACAGTCCAGGAGATGTTGATATAGGAGATTCCGGAGTGGGATTATCTGATTGTGACGAGTCGAAGTTCACACTTTGGGATTGTCTTCGACCAACTTGTCTTGCTGTGGGGACATCATCTTTAAATTTTTCGAAATTTTTAACCATATTCCAGACATGATCAAATTTGAAACCTTTTTTGTACTTTGGTTCTTGCATAAATAACATCTTTGCTCGAACTAACTGCAAATTATAGTGAACATCAAGTTATGTATTTCAACAATAATAATAAAATTCAAACGATAATTAATAGAATACTTACAATATCTTCATCTGAAGCACCACTTGGATTCAGATTCTCTACTTGTCTCAAGCACGCATTCAATTTCCTTACTTCATTACTTATGATTTCCATTCGAGAACGAATTGATCGGCTCATACGCAGTTATTTATAGCCAATCCAAATTTGTTTTTTTTGTTTGAATTTGAATTTGAATTTGAATTTGTCGGTGGTCAACATTTGAAATTGAATCATTTTGTACAAACTGATCAGCTTTACACATTATCCAACGTTGTCGGTGGGAATCAATTTTTGAAATCAAGTCAGCTTTACACATTGTCCAACGTATACACAGCTCAGCTCTCCTTGAATTGTGTGAAAGCTTTGTACGAGTGGGAATCAATTTTTGATATCAGGTCAGCTTTACATATTGTCCAACGTATACACAGCTCAGCTCTCCTTGAATTGTGTGAAAGCTTTGTACGAGTCGGAATCAATTTTTGAAATCAGATCAGCTTTACACATTGTCCAACGTATACACAGCTCAACTCTCCTTGAATTGTGTGAAAGCTTTGTACGAGTGGGAATCAATTTTTGAAATCAGGTCAGCTTTACACATTGTCCAACGTATACACAGCTCAGCTCTCCTTGAATTGTGTGAAAGCTTTGTACGAGTGGGAATCAATTTTTAAAATCAGGTCAGCTTTACACATTGTCCAACGTATACACAGCTCAGCTCTCCTTGAATTGTGTGAAAGCTTTGTACGAGTGGGAATCAATTTTTGAAATCAGGTCAGCTTTACACATTGTCCAACGTATACACAGCTCAGCTCTCCTTGAATTGTGTGAAAGCTTTGTACGAGTGGGAATCAATTTTTGAAATCAGGTCAGCTTTACACATTGTCCAACGTATACACAGCTCAGCTCTCCTTGAATTGTGTGAAAGCTTTGTACGAGTGGGAATCAATTTTTAAAATCAGGTCAGCTTTACACATTGTCCAACGTATACACAGCTCAGCTCTCCTTGAATTGTGTGAAAGCTTTGTACGAGTGGGAATCAATTTTTGAAATCAGGTCAGCTTTACACATTGTCCAACGTATACACAGCTCAGCTCTCCTTGAATTGTGTGAAAGCTTTGTACGAGTGGGAATCAATTTTTAAAATCAGGTCAGCTTTACACATTGTCCAACGTATACACAGCTCAGCTCTCCTTGAATTGTGTGAAAGCTTTGTACGAGTGGGAATCAATTTTTGAAATCAGGTCAGCTTTACACATTGTCCAACGTATACACAGCTCAGCTCTCCTTGAATTGTGTGAAAGCTTTGTACGAGTGGGAATCAATTTTTAAAATCAGGTCAGCTTTACACATTGTCCAACGTATACACAGCTCAGCTCTCCTTGAATTGTGTGAAAGCTTTGTACGAGTGGGAATCAATTTTTGAAATCAGGTCAGCTTTACACATTGTCCAACGTATACACAGCTCAGCTCTCCTTGAATTGTGTGAAAGCTTTGTACGAGTGGGAATCAATTTTTAAAATCAGGTCAGCTTTACACATTGTCCAACGTATACACAGCTCAGCTCTCCTTGAATTGTGTGAAAGCTTTGTACGAGTGGGAATCAATTTTTGAAATCAGGTCAGCTTTACACATTGTCCAACGTATACACAGCTCAGCTCTCCTTGAATTGTGTGAAAGCTTTGTACGAGTGGGAATCAATTTTTGAAATCAGGTCAGCTTTACACATTGTCCAACGTATACAGCTAAAAGCAAATTTGAATTTTGTGACAAATTGATAACAGCTGGAAAGCATTTCCTAAAATCAGCTCAACTTTACACATTGTTCAATGTATACAGCTAAGCAAAGTTTTATAAATAGCATACTAGATTAGGTACATCCACACAATTACTCGTTGTTGTGTTAAAATTATTATTCTCCATTTCTGCATACTTCAGTCATTCTTTTCTTACTTCAAAAATGAATTTCGATGTTGGAGGTCCATCATACTTATCATCATCTTCATCTTCGGATGATGATAATTTTCTGTCCAATATCATTGCAGAGATTGATGAAACCGAAGAAGTAATTTGTGAGTACATCAACAACAACATGATCCTCGTTAACAATTTACGTCAACACAACTACCAACCGATCCATGGTGGCTCGATTCCCGGTCATGCAGTGATCAACCGCGATCGAGAAAATGCGCATCAGAATTTGGTCATAGATTACTTTGCCGATAATCCACGTTTTGGAGAAGATATGTTTCGTCGTCGATATCGGATGTCAAGAAGTTTGTTCCTTCGTATTGTTGATGCAGTGAAAGATCATGACTATTACTTCCAACAACGAAGTGATGGACTTGGTAGAATGAGATTATCACCGTTACAGAAAGTAACAGCTATTTTTCGCATGTTGGCATACGGTCTACCAGCTGATGCTACGGACGAATACGTTAAAATAGGTGAGTCAACAGCAATTGAAAGTATGACAAAATTTTGTCGTGCTATGGTGGAAATATTCGCAGAGCGGTATCTACGAACACCTAACGCTAACGATATTGCTAGGCTACTCTATATTGGAAAAAACATGGGTTTCCAGGAATGTTAGGAAGTCTTGATTGTATGCATTGGAAATGGAAAAATTGTCCAACAGCATGGTCTGGGCAATACACAGGACGTAGTGGGTGTTTGCTGTGAAAGTTGCTGTTTTCATTGCTATCGAATCTATTACAACTTTAGTCGTTACAATAAACTCGAATAAAATAAAAGAAAAGTTGATCTTTTTATAAGATCTCCTTACACAATGAAAATAAAAAGTTTACAACTTTATCAAATAAACTCAGAGATCGTTTATCGGTCTTCTGCTTGCGTGGGTGTCTTTGCCTATGCCGGGGTTTATCCGTGGACCACCGTCGATCAGATCTGATTGCTGAAAAATTAGGCAGAGCTTCGTCTATCCGCGAAGAGATCGAGAAAACTGTAGCGCTTATCTCGATAAAAGCGAGATAATTGCTCTTCTTAGAATTACCACAACGGGATAATACTAAGGATTGGATGCGGGTGATGTAGATCTGATGAATCTCTCTCTCTTGCATTGAAGAACTAGATCTGATCTCTCCTCCTCCTCTCTTGAAATCTGTGCACTTTAAGTATTCAATCCGGCAAGGCTTCGCCGCGGCACCAGAATTCCAGCCCTAAAAAAAATGAGGCCTAAGGCTTGTATTTATAGGCTTGAGGGGTTGTGGAGCGGTTAAAACCACCTAAAGGACCCAAATCCGAGACACCCTAGGGTGTCTCCCAAAATCCGAGACACCCTAGGGTGTCTCCCAAAATCCGAGATAGTTTGTACTCTCTTTAGTATTTTGGCTCTAATTCTTTCATCCGAACTCGGATTTGAATTATTCAAGATGTATTGGAAAGCTGACAAAGAGAGCTACAACTTTCATGTTTTGAGTTTCTTCAGATTCTAACGGAATCATGGTCAAAACAGCTTAACAAGTTCCGAGACACCTTTGGGTGTCTCCAACTTATGTGGACACCCTGGGGTGTCTCCAACTTGTGCGGACACCCTGGGGTATCTCCAACTTGTGCGGACACCCTGGGGTGTCTCCAACTTGTGCGGACACCCTAGGGTGTCTCAAACTGGGTCGAGACACTCCGTTATGCCTATTTGTCCACTTCCGCTGTAAATTCTTCGTCCGAACTCGGATTTGAGTGATTCCAAGTGCGTTGGAAAGCCGACGAGGAGTTCTATAAGATCCAATGATTAGATCATCTGTGGAATCAACTGAGACACGAGGGGCGTGGCACCTTTTGTAGGCGACGCGGGGCTCTCGATCAATTCGTATCCTCGTTATTTTGAAACTCCGACGCTTCACGTAGTTCGTTGATTCACTTCAAGCATTTGCCAACGTCAATCGAGCTTCTGTGAACCGGATAGTGACGTTCATCGTCGTTCTTTAACACTGAGCTGTTTGTGGAGACCTATAGGCAATTTTCGATGCCTACAGTGGGTCACCAACTATTATCCTCGAAGCTGTGGCAGATTATGATCTTTGGATATGACACGCATATTTTGGTATGCCAGGCACCAATAATGATATCAATGTGCTAGAGTCATCTAATATTTTCTCTAACCTAGCTCAAGGTATTGCTCCTCCCGCTCACTATGTTATTCAAGGAAAAGAGTATAATATGGGTTATTATTTAGCTGATGGTATATATCCGAAATGGGCTACTATTGTACAAACAATCCAACAGCCACAAGGTAGGAAGAAAAAATATTTTGCCATGAAACAGGAAGCATGTAGAAAAGATGTAGAACGTGCGTTCGGAGTTCTCCAATCACGATTTGCAATCGTGGCAGGATCAGCACGTTTTTGGAAAAAACATGTATTACATGACATAATGACTGCATGCATTATTATGCACAATATGATAATCGAGGATGAACGTGATCTTTATGCACCAATTCAAGAAGTGAGGGAAGCACCAACACCAGAAGTTGATATGGTAGCAGATGAAACTACAAGATTTACTCAATTTATTACACGTTACGGAAAAATCAAGGATAAAGATGCCCATATTGCGCTTCGTAATGCATTGATAGATCATCTATGGGAGGAATACACTAATTCAGATAGTTAAGTGCATACTAAATTTGTAATTTTTACATTGTTGTTAATGTTTAATTATTTTCTTACATTTTATTTTCTGTTGTGTTCTTGAATGTAATATTTTGGCAATATTAATAATAGGTATATAATATTTTATTGTTTTATTAGTTTAATTTTTTAAATAATAAATCATTTTGTTTGGAAAATATGTGAAAAAATAAAATTTGATATGTGAGGTTAATTGTTGAAATAGTTAAAAATATAGGGAATAAAAAATAATCATATAAAAGTAGATAAAAAGAAAGATACTGAGAATATTCCTTTTTGGTGCAAAAAATGGTGCAATGGGTTGGAGATGAATTACTGTTAGATGTGACTTTTGCACCATTTTGGTGCAAAATTTGCACCATTTTGAGGCAAAGGGTTGGAGATGCCCTAAGGCTAGCTCAAGGGTCACCCGCAGTCAATTTGACTATTACAAATCATAATGATAATTATGATTGTAATAGCAAATAACTTAATTGATGTAACTGCTGTATGTAGTAATGCCTTACAAAGCGCCACTTAGCGTCTTGCAAAGTATCACTTTGCGCTTCAGCCCGATTAGCTTCGATCCTCGGCCCATTGGCCCACAGCCCATGGTTCATGAGCTCACGACCCATGACCCACGACCCACTAGTACTTATGAGGGATTAATTTAATTATTTAAATCAAAAACAATTCTCAGCTTGCCTACGGTAAACCTCGAATAAAGGACATTTTGAAATACCAAAATTTTTACTTTCTACTACGCTACTAAAGATTTCTAAAAAATACCAGTAGTTAGTAATATATAGTTTAAAAACTTATTTTTGGAAAATAATTTTGACCAAAAATTCAACTGCCTCTTCAATAGACCAAATGATCTCTCAACAACATTTCTTGAAGTCGAGTGCTTCATATTGAAATACTCCTCTAAGGAGTTGGGTTGATTTTGAGCACTCCGAACATTCCAATGATATCACTAGCCTCTAAATGGAGGGAGAAATCCTTTTCCATTTGTACAGCCAGCATCATCCAAGTAGTAGGTACCTATAAAAGATCAACCTCTAAATTGAAAATAATCTTTAATATTATTTCAAACTGATAAAATAATTGCATATAGTAGACATTATTAATCGTATTTCTCCTACCACGTAGGACTACCAATCCATTTCTCCTAGAAATTGCATCTCGAAATATTCTACCATCAGCTGCAGACCCTTGCCATCCCGACAACACATATGTAAATAACATATCATGAGTGCATGCACCAAGAACATTAATAGCTATTACACCTTTCGTTGACCGATACCTAAGCTGATCAGCTCTTGGCAAATTGATGGGTATATATGTGCCATCCAATGCTCCTAAACAGCCCTTAAATGAACAAAACAAATGGTGGATATGGAAAAACAATCTATCCTTCTAAAAAACATTAAGTTATGAATATAAAATAAAAGTATTACTTTGAACCATTTCCATCTCATGTCCGTACAGTTTTTCAAAACTGGCACGAGAGTTTTTAACAATATCCTCTGAAGTCTCACAATACATCCGATAACATTATTAAAATGTCGACTAACACTTTCCATAGATAAAAAATGGCTGAATTTGATGACTCTATTCTTAGTGTGATGTGCTATAATCTGCAAAGTAATTGCTACTTGCTCATCAACAACCATATGACAAGTTGACTTTAACTTTCCAACTGTTTTGAGCATGTTGCATAACTTAGCAAACATTGGTCTATTCATCCCAGTAATGATAGCCAGTCATTATTGTTGGGGGTACGAAATAATCAAATCGAAGCCTTGCCCTTCTGGACCTTGTGTTTGAGAGTAGAAAAGTAGGAAAAATCACAGCAAATTAAAGATAAAAACTTGCAGGAAAGTAAACAAGAAAGAACACACCAGATTTAATGAGGTTCAACAATCGTGTCTACGTCTGTTTTCGTCGAAAGTTGGTTTCATTGTGGAATTCATTATATCTTCGATCGATTACAATAAATTCAAAAGAAAATAGTCTTTTTATAAGACCTCTTTTACACAATAAAAGAAAAATTACAACTTTCTAGAAAATAACACAGAAATTGTTTATCGATTCATGTTTTGTGGGACTTTGCCTGTGCCGGGAGTGCTTTGACTCGTGGACCACCAAATCACCGATTGTGAAGGGGTTTAAAGATTCTTCCTTCGTTTATCGAAGTAGGAATTTGAAGCGAATATCTTATCGATGTAAGATGTTCACTCTTCCAAAGATCAAGTCTGAGCTTAGATCTCTAGGAATCACCAAACGTTGTTTATGAAAGGTGAAAACTCTCTCTCTCTTCCTCAAAATTATCAAAAGCCCAAGTCTCTATGCTCCAATCTGCTCTCTGTCCTTTGTTTCGTGTCTAGGGAGGTATTTATAGGGATAGGAGTGCACAACAGCGAAAATGGGGGCGAAATAACTGATCAATTGGATGCTCTTTGGGCGCGTCAGTCCACACTGCCGCGGCTATTGGCGCGCCAGTGTGGACTGGCGCGGCCAAAGAGGCCGTTACAGCCACGTTCCCATCGTGCTTGAAACTGTCCTCCCACGACTTTTAACCACTTTTATCGTGGTTTAACCACTTGTCCATGTCAGCACACGTTCTTTTTCAGATATGTCGCCACGTGGACCTTGAAAATCATCGTATAACTGCTTTTTTTAACCGCCGTGGCAGCTCCCTGTAGTTTGCACGTCACCATGGACTGACACGCAATAGGCGCGCCACCATAGGCTGCTGCGCCTTAGGCGTGTCACCATGGACTGCCGCGCCTAAGGCGCGTCACTATGGACTGGTTGTCGGTGTATTTTGTCGTTGGTGTGTACGTTGTTCTTCTATGTTGTTTTGCTTCCTTTGAATGATCCCCTTTGACTAAGAAAATAGCGTTTATCGTCTTCTCTTTGCCTCGAGCAGTATTTGGATGTCCGTAAGCATTTTTTGACACCTACAGATACCCCCTCCAAAGTATCTCAGACTCATTCCTTTAGAGAGGAGTCTGGGACACTTTGGATATGATAAATTTTACTTGCAATCTCTTCAATACTTTGTTGAGGAGATTACGTAGAAGAATCTATGAATAGCTTTAATTCCTGACTTCTTCATCTTTTAGTCTACTCAGTGCTTTGTAGAATAGCTAAAATTCTTCCGGTGCTGCGTTTATCGCCTGACCGTTGTTGAAGTCTTAAATTAGAGCTGGCGAAGGAATAGTTTATACTCATATACTTTATTGGAGTGTCCGAGAAATAATTTAACCTCATATACCCGTTGGGAGGTTCAAGGAGATGCAGTTTATACTCATATACTCATCGGAGTGTTCAAGTATGCATTCCAAATACAATGGAAGACGTATGTGTTCAAATACCCAAGGGATCATTATGTATGCACGGCGCTTTTGCGCGTCAGAGTTGACTGTGGTGCGCTAGCGCGCCAGCATCAACTGCTGCGCTCGAGCGCGCCAGCGTCGACTGCCGCGCACAGTTTTGGCCAGTTAGGTTTATAAGGCTGATGTTGGGCCTTTTCGGGTCATTTTTACCCGCTGTTTTGAGTTCGAAATCTTCTCAAATACCCTATAAAAAGATCCTCTGGTTTTTCCCTTCTTCACCTCTTCACATTTGGGCGATTTTTGTTTGAACAAGATCTAGGGTTTTGGGTTCTTCTTGGTTCTGAGCCTTTCCTTCGATCAAAACTTGGTTTTGTTCAACCTCTGGTAAAACCGCACCCATATGTTGTGTTTTAGGGTTCTATTTTGGTTTTTTTTGCTTGAGATCTCACCTAAAAACCCTAACTTTCCTTGTTCTTAAGCTGTTTCCACATGTCTCCCAAAAGAGCTCATGTTCCCAAGGGCAAATCTGCAGCCCAAGCGTCAGAAGAGATCGAGGCCACTGCTACGTAATTCGGGGGTAACCCTTTTCAACTCTTTCTCTGTTTAAAATTAATGCTTTTACTCGTACAACCTCGTTTGTCTTCTTTGAGAGGCATCCGGGAAGAGTTGACATCCTCCTTCGAGGGGATCGACGCTATAAAACACATATCTTGTTTAATCAAGACATGTACCACAGCCGAGATGCGAGTTTTCATCGAACTCGTGGCTTTTCGAAGCCAACGGCCGCTGCTCAGTTACCGCGGTAGCACGTGCTGCCACGGCCGAACGCGGTAGCATACACTGTCGCGGTAACGCGCGACAGTAAACACTGCCGCGGCTACTTAGAGCAGTGGGTTTTGCTCTTTTAGCCTCTTTTATTCAATTGCTTTCCAACTTTGTCTGCAGTCCACTTTCCTTCTGTGGCCTTTTCTGATAGAGAAGACCCAGGTCAGAGTGGTATTCTTCATGCTTCTTTCAACGGTAATTTTTTGGTCAGAGAGGACCGTCAGTTCAATGAGGGTCGTGATGATAATTTTCCCGAACTGGTTCGTGAAGGAAGTCGTCGTACTTTGCGTCAACTGTTGACCGACTCGCCTTTAACCTCAATTCGAGATTCCACCGAGCCATTAAAGAAGCCTGATTATTTGTTCGGGGATTCGATTGAAGATCCGGATAATCTTTGCTGTGGTCCTGAAGCTTGGTTAAATGAGCACGAAGGGGATTTTCTATTCCTTCCTCCATTCCCTCGACAGTATTCGATTCTGCAATTAAGGAATTTAACCGTTTCGAGGAAGATGTCGTGGCACTTGACAGATGATCATGAACGCCTCCATTGCGGGTTCATTGGTAAAGATATTAGTGCTCCTGGCTCCAGTGGTCGGCATATTATTCGTGGTCTTCATCCCGGGGTACTTGGACCAGATAGTGGACCTCAGAATGAACTGATGATAAAGGCTAACACTGTAAAGAATAGGCTTGCTCGGATCGGTAGAGAGTTCCCCCTCCCGAAGTTCAGATGTTATGGATGGGTCCACTCGCTCCCAGACAAATGGTGGTCTAGGATGACCAACTACGTACTCAATCATTGGGGTCAAGAATTAGCGAACTCGGGATTATACAT